GGTCCCAGTGCTGGGTGGCCCCACGGAGGCCACGGGCACCCACGGCAGCCTGTGCTCTTTGAGTCGACCCCAGTGAAATGTAAAAGCCCTCTTCCTTTTATGTCCGCGAATGTCGCGTAGCTTGTGTCCCGCCCGGGCCTCTCCCCTGATGTTGGGGACCGCGGCCAGGGTGACGCAGCCAGGCTGAGGTGGATTGGACGCGACAGGCCGTTTCTTTTCCTCCCAGGATTGCTCCGTCCTCGGGAGAGTCCGCCTTTGCCCACGAAAGGAGCAAACCTTACATCTCTCCCAAATCGGGGCGAGGGCACATGTCCTCCCTCTGGCTCCACGCAGGGCCCGTGGTCACGCCGTGTCCCGCTTCTGTTCCAGGGCCTGGACTTCGCGGGCTTCACGGCGCACATGTTCGTGGGCATCTGCTTCGTGCTCCTGGTCTCCCTCCCGCTGCTCAGGCTCCTCTACTGGAACCGGAAGCTGTACAACAAGGAGCCCAGCGAGGTCGTGGGTGAGTGCAGGCGCGTCTCACATGGCGGAAGGTGCGTGTGCCAGGCCTCAGAGCGCCTGTGCCGGGACACTGCCCGCCCGGGGTCAGGACTGCCCGCATTGAACCCCGTGCACGTTGGGCCTTCGGGGTTTGCAGTGCCGGGAGCCCCTTCAGCTTTCTCCGAAGTGCAGCGTGGTCACACGTGGGAGGTCGTGGCCATTACATGCAGCTCACATGTCCTGACACCCTCATAGCCAGGTGTGCAGTACGGACAGGGCGGCGTGCCGACCACGGTGCTCCGGCGTGAGAGCATGCTCTCGGGGTTCCCGTGATGGTGGGCGGGTGTGACCCAGCACAGGTGGGGCCAGCAGTGCCGGTCAGGAGCACACGGGGTGCCCGCCAACGGGGCGAGCTCACGACCGTCTTGCGCATTCTGCGTTTCCCCATGTGAAAGAGCTAAGAGACGAGGCGTGTTTTCCCAGCGTCCCCCACACAAGGAGTGGCCACGGTTGAAGGATGAATGTACACGTGGCCTTAATCTAACCTTACGTGTGGTATATACTTTTATCACAGAGGGCATCGGGACTTGTCAGAGAGGAGGGCAGAGAGGGAGAAAGCGCCCTTCACTGGCGTGTGGCCCGGCCGCCCCTTCTCCTCTCTCTGTGCTGTTGGGATCTGGGGCACGCACAGGAGCCTGGTATGTTTTCCAGCCACCAGAGCCGGGACTCGAACCACAGTTAGCCATGTGGGATCCAGCTCCCCAGCCGCTAGGCCAGGCTGCCACATGTCACCCTGTACTGAGGAGTCACACCGCCCCATGCTGGCTCTGGTCTCTGTTCTCCAGACACCCCGACACGGAGGAGCCCTGTCTGCCGGTGCGAGCAGGCTGCTGGGGAGGGTCTTTCAGGATGGTTAGTGCTTCAGGAAGGGGCCCTCCGCCCTGGTGCCTCGACCAGGGCCAGCGAGTCTGCCATGCTAGGCCTGGGCCCTCAGCGGCCCCTCATGTGACGAGGTCCAGACCGTCGGTGGGATACGTCAGGCCGTGCCCTTTCCCCCGCCGTGGCTCTTCGTGGCTCACGCTTTGGTGGGCGGGCTCAGTGGCGGCGGTGGTGGCTGCTCTCCCCTCCTCTCCTCCTTTCTGTGTGATCATGGCCCAGCAGGTGGTGTAAAGAGGCGTGAGACTTGTGGCAAGGACCTGAAGGGTCCAGACGGTGGCACAGTGGTAGCACACCACACCCACACAGGAAAGGGCCCGAGGTCATGCCCTGGGGCCCTGTGCACGCCGTCTGCGCGGCACGGCTGTCATCTGGGCGGCTGGCACGGGCATGCAGTGGGAGGGTACTAGCTCTGTGTCTCTGTGGAAGAGAAAAACAAGCCGTTTCTAAAAGAAAGGAAAGAAAACGAGGAACAGCGGGTGTGTGGAGGCCGAGGCGGCTAGATCCCACGTGGCCAAGTGTGTGGTTTGAGTTCCAGACCTGGCAGCTAGAAAAACACGCAGGGGTTGGGACCAGCAGAGAGTCAGGTCAGGTCGCTGGGCTTCCACGAAGCCAACCGCAGTTTGAGTCCCGGACCAGTAGCTTAAAACTCACTCTGGGCTCTTGTGCACGTGTGCCCAAAGTCCCGAGAGGAGCGTGGAGGAGGGGAGATTGCAGCGTGGCCACCCCCCGGGTGTGTGCGTGTGGGCTCGGCCCCCCAGAGCACTGACTTTAGTTGCTGTTCCACATCCAGCCCTCCACCCTGATTCTCACGAGCCGTAGAGTAGGGGTTGTGCAGAAGCAGTGTCCGTGAAAATGCTTGCTTCCTCTGTTCTTTTAAAAAGTTATTTATTTCCCATGACAGAGCGAGACAGAAACACTGCCCGGCAGGACCTCACGCCATGGTCTACCGCAGCCCCCGCCAGCCCAACTGATGGGTGCGGGCGTGCCCGAGATGTGCAGGAGGCCAGGGTGGTGACCGGGACTGCCCGTGGGCTGCCTCCCCTGAGTACAGCGCTGTCACGGGGCCGCTGCTGGCCTCTTCCTGTGGTAGATGCTTTGAGAAAGTTACCCAGCATTTTTAGCGGCACGACAGAGGTCAAATGCAAGCCTGCATGCACTATTTCAGTACCTTAGGCGGCAAAGCCCTGGCACGCACTCCTCCTCCGTACTCTGCAGCCGGAGTGTCAGACTCTCCTGGTTTCGGCATGCAGTCGGCTGCCTGTCCCCACCACCCGTGCCGCAGGCTGCTCGGTGGCGCTTGGAGGGCCAGACGCTTCCCTGTGCCCGCTCCTTCCCGAGGCCCTTCCGGGGAGCCCTGAGCTCTGCCTCCTGCACCCGGTTTCCTGGTTTTCAATCACCAGCCCCTGAAATCCCAGAAAGCCTGGGCCATGTCTGGGTTTGGGCGAGAAGGGGCCTGACCTACGTCCTGCAAGAAGAGGATGCGGTGGTTGGGAGCTGGCTGGGATGTGTCTGTTCACGACAGGAACTCACAGGGCCAGCAGGTGGCGTGGCGGCTTAGACCCTGGACTCCCACCTAGCCGACTGCGGGTTGAGTCCCAGGCCTGGCAGCTTGCTTTCTCATCCCCCCCTCTCTCCCTGGTCAAATGGAAAAAACAAAAACAATGAACTATAATTAAATAAAGAGGGAAGGGGACTTGTTCCCTGAAGCCAGCTCTGTCACCTGGTTGCGTCGGGAGCTGGGGAGCCGCGGCTTCGGTTGGCCCCGGGTGGCCTGGGCGTCGCGGGGCGGTCTGCTGTGCCGGGGGTGTGTGGGCAGAGGGGTGTCGGTGTCCCGGGCGCACCCCCTCAGGCCCCGCCTTCCTGCCCTGCAGAACTGAAGCACGAGATCCACGTGTGGCATCTGACTGCACAGCGCATCAGCCCGGCCAGCCGCGAGGAGACGGCGGTGCGTGCCCTGCTGCAGGGGAAGGTGCTGGCCCTGGAGCACCTGCTGGCCCACCGGCTGCGCAGCTTCCACAGGTCAGGTGGCCACTGCACTGGGGGGAGCGCCACACCCACCACAGCCACGGTGGTGCCCGAGTGTCACAGTGCACAGACCAAGTGAGTCGCGACCACCCTTCTCAGGACGGTCTGTGGCACCACAGCGAGGGACACTGGCCGCCTCTGGTGACGAGCCTTCGGTGCCACCCTCAACCTCTACGGCGCACCCTTCCCCAGCTCTGGGTCTGCTGGTGTACGCGGGCCGGTGTTACTGGTGCAGGGACGGAGCCCAGAGCTCAGGGCGCTTGGATAGAGCGCTGCTGGGGAGCGAACCCACTTGCTGTCTGTTTTCCAGTTTGTTTCTTTGAGGAGAGAGAGCAAGAGGCACCGGGCAGGGTCCCCACACTGAGCCTCCTCCCAGCCCGGGGCACAGGCATGCGTGTGCCTACATGCACCTAGCGTGCACAGGGATGTCTCAGGACGTGAACCTGGAACCTCCCATGTGGGTCCCGCTGTGTCACTACCGTGGCACTGGCTGGCCCTGACAGCAGGCCGGGTCCCAGGCTGCGGCAGGCCCTGACAGCAGTGGGGGGAGTACCCGCCTCACCCGCGGGCACGGACCTCAAAGGA